TGTATTTGTCCTTTTGTTAGTAAAAGATGGCATTAATGCAAAAAGAAATAGGAGAGTGGCACGCTTGTAAAAGTGTCTTTTGAGTGTGGTATTTTTGCAATTCTCCCTAACATAATTAACCCAAACATAAATAATATAAATTTTTTTTTTAAAAAAAGTGGTATTTTTGTAAAGATTTCAAGTGTGGCATTTTGTAAAGTGGCACTTGAAAAGTGGCATTTTTTGAAATTTCTCTTTTTTTTTTATCATTCATCTTTTTATTTATTTTAGTTGGGATTTTTATTTTATATGTATTATTTGTTTATTTTATGGTTTATGTCATGTCTATATTTTATCTTAAACTTTGTTTCTTAATTATTATTGATAATATTAGAAATTTTACTTTTTATTATTTGATTAGTAACTTGACAATTACTTTCCATTTTAATTTTTATTTTTCTTAATTAATTTTAAGTATTAACACATTCTTCATTTGATCAATATTAGTTACATGTCGCGATCGTGAGTTATAATTTTGTTTACATGTCATGCTGATATAAAAATGCATTGTGGTAAATATTTTTGATTTTAAAATTTATAACGCCTATAATTTGACAAATGTAATTAGATTCTAAATTACGACTCGCAATATTCAATATTTATTTTATTATTATATTTTATTAAATAGTCAATTTATTGTATTTATCTCATACTAAAATTACATCAAACACATTATTATATTAGAAAAATCACATGTATAAATATGATATTTCTTTTTGTCTTTATCTATTTAGATAATTTATAATGGAAAGAATGTATTTTGTAATATAAAATTTTAGAAATATTACATATTTTAGGACAACTGTTTTTTTTCTTTTTTTTAATTTGTCTATAATCCTTATTTATAATTTATTCATTATTTTTTTAAAAAAATTGTTAATACTAACACATTTCTCAATCTAAATTAACAATTACACATGTTATGATTTTGTGAATAAGAATTTTGCATGTGTTGCGTTCTCATCGTGCACATTCTTCTTTATATAATAAGATACTATATACCTTTACCGGGGTAAAAGCGTAGAAGAACAAATTCTTCAATTCTCTCAATGAGTGAACCGAACAGAACCGATCAAGTAAACCGACATTTGAATGCATATAACCGGTCAACTTTCGGCAGTTGACATTGGCAGCACGTCTAATATTTGCAAATTCTAAATTCTAAATTACAGAAGCTAAATGATTCTGTAAGAACTTTCGTACGAAATTTCCTAAATTTTATTTTACTACGATATACTATATAAAATTAGGTAAGATAGCTTTATATATAAATGGTTTGATCTTTCCCGGTAACACTCAAATTAATCAAGCATGGACAAAAATGAAGAAACCAAGCAACCTGTCGACGTTATCTACAACAAAAATGATTCATCAGTCTCTCCCTTCATCAGCTATCTAACCGCGGCTTTTGACCGCAAAGGGATCAAGCAGTTTTATGGGCTCAAACTTTTCTTGGTGATTTTCTCTAGTGGCTACCCATCTTCCGTATCATGCCTAGAGAAACTCATGAAGGTTCTTGAATTATCTCGCTGTGATAAAAACAGCTATGTGGTGGTTCCGGTGTTCTATGGTGTAAGTCGATTGGCTGTGAAGCAACAATCGGGGACGTTTAGAGATGCGTTCACAGAGCTCGAAAGGTCATATCCTGAAGATCAGGTGACTAAATGGCGATTCGCTCTAGCAGAAACAGCGGAATTGCAAGGCTGTGAGTATAATGATGATTCAAGGTATGTGAATACAACAACTACAACACTGAAATTTTTACATTTGTCTATGATGTCACGATGAAACGTTCAGGCCAAGATTAATATTGAGGGGCCACTAGACCTTCACCTACATTACTTTATAAGGTTATTATAAGAAAACAAATAATGTCGTTTTGCATACCTTGTTAGGACTGCATTTTAGCTTTTAATTCATTTTAGAATTTTGACCCAGAAAAGAAAGAAATTTAATTTTAGAACATTATGATAAGAGGAATATCCAAAAATTAATATCACACCATTAAGTTTTGATGCCAATAATAATAATATATATATATGCCTCTTTTATAGGTCCAAAACTATCACAGCATAACTGATAAAAGTGTTGTTTTGTGCCTCTTATTATAAAATGTACTTTTTATTAGGTTTTCTTACTCAATTAAAACACTATTTTAAGTGTTCGACAAGTTAGTTCAGTAATTAATGAGCTTAGAAATCTGTATCTCCTAGAAATCTGTATCTCCTTATATAATTTATTTAGAAGATTTTGAGAAACTTGCTTAGGGTTTTATCACATCCATGATCAGCCAGCCATTATTTTCTTGCAAAACACCATGTTTCCACTTATTGCATCGGCAACTAAATCGCTCAATAACATGTATAAACCACAAATCTATGCCTTGACCAAAAAAAAAAAAAAACCACAAATGTATGCTTTTGAAAACTGCAGAACCTAACATGAAAAAAGGCTTTAGTTAAAATAAAAAGAAAAGAAATGGGATACAATTCTATAATTTTACCAAAATGAAATATTTAGGGCGATTCTTTAACGCCATACTTTTGAATTTTTGATTCAAATTTACATAGCACCACTAGTTTAAAATTTTAATACTGTAGCAGCACATATTCAACATCAAAGTGACTAAAACCACCTCTAAATGTAAGAAACCTAAACTCTAAATTGGAAAAGAGAACCCAAACATAATTTTTTATTTTGTTTTTAATTTATTTAGGACAAACAATTATTTTCACATAATAATTTCTACTATTTTTGGAATTTTACATTTGGTCTACTAGACTAGGAACAAAAATTAATTTTGTGCTATTTTGGGTATTTGTCACTTATATTGAAAATATGCACAAAATTAATTTAAAATATCTGTTAATTTTGCAATTCATCGAATATCTTAAACTCAGAATAACGTTTGTGACAGTGATGAATACAATTTTATGGAGAAGATCGCTCAAGATATGTTTGAGAAACTCTATCCAACAGAAGAGCTTGGGATCTACAAGCGACAACTTGACATAGAAAACTTGCTATGCAAGCAACCATGGGGCGTTCGCACTCTAGGCATTTTGGGTGAGCCTGGCATAGGCAAGACAACGCTGACTAAAGCGGTCCACCGCAGAATGTCTAGTGGCTATGATGTTTTTCGCTTCATCGAAGATTTCCACAAAGAATATAGTGAAAGGAGACTTGAGCCTTTGCCGTGTGCTTTCTTTCGTGTCACTCCAGTGGAAGAATTTGACCTAAACAATCCAGATGTCGAGCCACCAAGCCAGCGCGAAAAAAGGATTCTCCTTGTTCTAGATGATGTTCGAAATGCGGGAGATGTAGAGTCTTTTCTTGGAGTGGTTGATCAGTTTGGTCCAGGGAGCTTGATCATCATAACCTCAAGAGATAAACGAGTTCTTGAACAGTGTCGTGTTAATGAGATTTATGAGTTAAAAGGTCTAAATGATGAAGATGCTATGAAGCTATTGACAAGGTGTGCCTTTGGGAATGGAGTGATAGAGCAGAAGCTTCTGGATCTTTCAATGAGAGTGGTTAAACGTTCTGATGGTAACCCGTCTACTCTCATCTCGTATGCTGAGAAGCTAAAGGGTAAGAAAAAGACCGAAATGAAGTCAGCTTTGCTCGAGATCTGCCATGATGCATGTATTGACACTAAGAAGAACACAACTTCGTGCTTAACCTATGGAAATGCTGATGAACATGGCGTTTTGGTATGTTATATTTTCATACACATATATTTCTCTTTATTAATTAAGTATTTGGAAATTTTACAATGTCCTAATCTTCGGAAATTGACTTGCCCTTTTTTCTTTTTGTGTATTTTCAGGACACTAGAGAGGCCAAATCCATATTCCAGAAACCGTCTATCAAGTGTGCCGCTGAAAGATTTCTATCTGATCTTGAGAATCTTCCGGTATTCGACCATCCCAGCCATGTCTATGATCTAAAGGTTTCCCACTTGGATCATGACCCTGCAATGCAATCCTTTCTCCAAGGATTTTCTGATCAACTCTGCAAAATATGGGAACGAGGTGGATATTATAAGGTAAGGGAAACCTCAAGACCTCACAGAAAAATATGTAGAACTGAGAGAGATGTTGCATTGATTCCGTCTGCACATATTAGAAATTTCACATCGAATCATAGCAAAACGTATTAGAACAATCAAATTTTTTGTAAATAATTATCGCGATTATCATTTAATAAGACTTTTTTTTATAAACTAACACATTATTTTAGGTAAATACATTGCATGAACTTAGTTTTACCAACGGTAGTCATAATTGATATATATTTACTAGATTAGTTGATAATTGATAGTATTTTTTTCATAACTACATACATTTAATGATTTAAGTTTGAAGACAATGTCAGAGGATTGGTGACAAGCTATAGATATGTGATATTGATTCACCTTTCCTTTCTTTCTTTTTTCCATCAGAGCTTCCTGAGTTTGAAGAGGATCAACCTTGAGAACTTAGAGACACTAGTTGAAGCTGAAGAACTCTCGGAAGCACCTTGCCTTGAGGAAATCGATCTTCGAGATTGCAAAAACTTGGAGAGCATACCAGTCACTGATAAGCTAAAACATCTCAAAGTTCTTAATCTTTCTGGTTGCAAGGGGATCAAACGTTATCCAAGAGTTGTATGGCCCTTAATAGAATTGAATCTTGAAGGAACTGGTATAAGAGAAATCAGATCTGAGACAACACAGTACTCTGAATTGGTAAGACAACAAAGCACTATCGAAGTACTATCAAAGTACTATCAACCAAACGTGTGGTGGGCCTAATTAATGGTTAGTGCAAGGAGTTGGTTCTATTGTGCCTTAGGTTCAACCCTAAGACGATTTCTGCCGTGTGATGATATTATACCGAACTTTGGGCTTAACAAAAAACAAAAAAAACAAAACTACTGCAACTTTGGAACTAACACAGAGCTTCAAAATTTCCAGGATTTTGAAGTAAAACTTGATTTTCACGTGTTTTTATTTTGGTTCAAAAATCGTTTGTTGGATTAAGAAAAAAAATTACAAGTTTAAGAATAAGTATCTGTGAATGTGATGTTGTAACTCAATTTATATGTATGAACCTGTTTTTACTTTGATCCGATTCTTCCATAGCCTCTTTCGTAGCTCCAGGAACGCTATTTTTATTTTTGTCTAAAACGAGTTTAGCCGTTAATTATATAAAGTCAAATAAATACTCAGCAAATAAACATAATGATAAGTCAGCATCGAAGACATTTATAAAGTTGAGTCGCAGCTCTTATCCTCTGAATTTTATGAACATTTTATGTTGCATTGCACACAATTAGGACGAGGTGGTTTAGGTAACGGATATATACACAGTAAATAGTTTGAGAGTAGACACATATATAGTCTGTGATTGAATTAAGTTTCAGTGTGATGACTAATGCAATGCATGGTGTGGCAGGGAAGGGAAGGTTTACTTGACAGGCAAGAAGTTTCAGCGTCGAGACATTTTCTGGCTCTAATGCTGATCCAGAAGCTCTGTGACTGAACCAAGCAGCAACTTCACTTGCTGGAAAGAAAATAGCAACCTAAGCTTCAAAAGCTAGAACCAACAAAGTAATCAAAAAGCAACGAAAAATGCGTCAGAGACCTTATCAACATAAGATACGATTCATTCTCTGCGATGTGCGCAAGTTTTTTCACAGTAAGTAATGAGGAAGGAGCCTGGTGGTACGTAGGCGTAAGAAGAAAAACAAAAGGGAGAGTCAAACATCAAGCAAAAGATTTTACCTTACTCGTTCCAGTCCCTCGACTCTGGGTTTATCACTCTAATAATACTCTCACTCTTCGATCGCTGAAAAGCTTCCCTGAGTTGTTTCACTTTGCAAGAAATGTAAACATTGAGCTTAATTCGATCTCTGGATTTTCATAAGCCTCTGGCTGATGAACCCGTACCACGTCCCAGGTAAGAAACAGAAAATGGGATCTTTCTTGCTCCATGACGTTCAAGTATGTCTTTTGGCTACAATCATCATTAGCTTTTCAAAGACGGTACTTAACTATAGCTAAATCCAGAGCAGGGGAACACGAACAGATTGCACTCAAGAACAGGTTCTTCTAGTAATAGCATCGGTTAATAAAAACCAAATCCAAATTCTCTCCAACATAATCAAACAACAAAGGGATCTTTTCTACCTGGTGATGTTCAAACTAGACATCAAATGATAACAACAGGGCTCAACAAAATGAGAAGGATTAGAACAACCCTCTTGCGCGAAAGATAGCCATTTCAGAATATCAATGCAAGAGCGGATTGTGAAAAATAGTTTCTTTATTCAACTGTAAAAAGAACCTTACAGAGAGCTTAAACACACACCCAAAACTGGCTGTTTCAAACAGCAACATACATACACTCAAATAACAAATTACCTGTCTGCTCTGTAACTTAACAGGCCGTCCCTTCCAAAAGAAAATAAAATGATGGTAAACAAAATCAGTCTGCCAAATCTGTCTTGATGGTAAAATAGGGGATTTTGGTTGAAGCAGAGAGCAAATTGATATATGTATCCCTCTCAGAAGATACACCACCATGAACCACATTTTTTACCAATACACAATCTTCTTTATTACTACTTGGAGTTTTGTATAAGATTGTGGTTCACCTGAAACATATTCATCATCCCTGCTTGGAGATTTTCAACCATTTGCTTGACCCTTGAGTTTATCTTCCATTCTTGGAGCTACACTCGCACCACAAGTTTGAGTGACACTGGATGTTATAAACCGTTCTGGTATTTCGTTTCTTCTTTGGTTGACCATCACTTCTTGTTTTTGCATTTCTCTTTGCCCCTCCATCACCCCATGTTGAGGTTCTTGAGAGCTCACTTCAACAGGCATATCATACTTTGCCTCATGAGAACTACTTTCGTTTTTATCTTTTGCGTACACCAAACTCAAACCGCACCTCAAGACCTTGAATTTTCCTATCTCAGTTGTACCAGCAGTCACAGTAAACTCAAGGGAGGCTTCGGTAAAATTGCATTTATCAGAGTTCTCGTCTTCGAGACACCTTATGGTATGTGGGCAACTAACGTAGCCTATGAAAACATGATCCGACTCAATCTTGTCTTTCTTGTCTTCCTCTCTAGTCCAACTTCCTATTGGGCAAGTAAAGGGGATCCAAGACTTGTCTTTAACCTCTACATTAAAGGTGCATGTCACCGAGAAGCAGCTGATTTGATCTTGGCCATCAAGAAATGAGACTACAGCACATAGAGCTATGCCAGAAAGTCTCTTTTCATGCCAATGTGGGAGTAGTTTGCGTTGCAAAAGAGGTCCAACTGCTTCATGACAAAACCACGAAGGCACCTCACATCCAGGAAAGCAAGTGCTGAACAAAGCCTCTGAAACAAGACCCTGAAAAGTTATAAATAAGGAAGTTCATACAAATTTCCTTGAAATATAAGAATCGAGAGGGATACAGAGAGCCACAGGTAGATATAGAGAGAGATACCCCATTGTAGTGTTTACGAGCATCTGATAGTAACTGGCATTTCCTCTGAGCATACGATGTGATTTCCTCCTTTGCAGCTTGCTCCAGGTTGCCACAGTTGGTGAAATTGAACGTGCAATGGTTCTGCGCGGTCGGCATGATACGGGCCAACGGTTTTGCAACTGTCTTCAGTGAGATACAGCCGTGTGCATCTAAGTACTGAAGATTTGGGGGTAACTCTGGAAAAGATGTAAGACTCTTACAATACTTCAAATCCAGCCATGTTAGTTGAGAAAGATGATTGATCCCAGCTGGGAGGCAGCTAATCTGATAATTTCTGCTTAAGCATAAATACTGCACTGAGGGTAACAACGGCATCGTTTTAATAGATGTCCCATCCAGAAGTAAAATGATCAAAGAGCTCTTGTTGATGATGTCTGGAAATTCCTTGAGCTTTAAACAACCAGATAGTACCAGTTTCTGAAGAGATTTCAGCTCACCAATACAGGTAGGGATATTCTCCAACTCTTTGCAGTCCTTCATATTCAACAAGAGAAGTCTCTCGAGGCTCACCACATTGTCAGGAAGGTGACTTATTGCTGTTCTGTCCAAGTGTAGAGTTTCTAGGTTTTTTGGAATCAACGGAAATTCCTTGAATTCTGAGCAGTTGCTGAGGGTGAGAGTTTTTAGAGATATCAAATTCACATCTCCAAGAGATTTGAGACTTGTGCACCCTTCAAGGTTCAGTCTTTGAAGCTTTTGAGCGTTTGATAATCCTGACAAGTTGCTCAACTTACTTGAGTGATTGAGATCGACCCATTTTAAGACTGGTGTAACCTGTTACAACTTACAACAAAACATTTAGCCAACAGGCAGAAAAATTACTCAGTTTAATTTAACACAGAAAGACTACAAAACTTTTTATTAAGTGGCACACCTTAACACCATCCCAAAGCTGTTCAATCTCGCTGTAGGGCAGCTTAAGGTCCACGAGATTAATCGGTTCGAAATCGATTGGAAGTTCCTCCAGTGGGAATTTCAGCCAGTGGAAGCATCGGATCTCTTGCAATGGTAGCTCAAGTCCATCAGGGATGTTGATCTTATTGTCGGTTTTACATTCCTGAGGACAATGAGAATTGTAGAACTTGAGATACCGGAGATTACGCATATTTTTGAAGTGGTCACTGTCTAAGCTCGTTTCGCCCTCCACTTCAGACAAATCTAGGAAAATACCTCTGACATTGGGAGCTCTCTGGTAATGAATAACAACAATAGCAAACATGACATTAGCGACGAGTAAAAATGTAAGCTTTTACCAATAAAAATGCTAGAGGAACTTCTTGTCTCACCATTTGATTTCGCAGAACATTAACTTTGCATCCCTTGATTATGTCTTGATGGAGCCACAGCCTCCGTTGTTTGCTACCACTTTGAGTGGATGCTTTAGGATCAAGTTCCCTAGAAAATGTATACAGTAGATCATGCATCTCCACACGACCGTCACAAGTATTAATCAAGAACTTATTCTTGAGAGCTTTTACTACACTTGTTGTTTCAGCAGATGAAGCCAGTAAACTTTCTACATAATCCACATCCTCGGATCTGAAACAGGCTATGTCGAGAAATGCATCCTTCTGCTCTGGACTCAATTCATCATAGCTTACTTTGACAACCTCTCCAATATAAGTGCTGGGAATTTTAGCGAGTATTCTCAGTTTTGTCTCCCAATGCTTTAGATCTTTCTCGTAAAGCTCGCTACCCAATATTTTGAGAGCTAGTGGATGACCTCTGGCATAATGCACAAACTCATCCGACAGCTGCATGAAATGATCTACCTTGGGAGGAATGGCTTGATGGTCATCAAAGGCATGATAGCGAAAAAGTTGTAAGCTGTCTCTGTGGTTCAGTTGCCGGACAACATAGGTGTCATGAACCAGACCCTTTAACAAGGACATGTCGTTTGTCGCAATGACAATCCTGCTTCCATCTATAATCCACTCATGTTTCTTGAGAAGATCATATTTCCCAAGAAGAGCGTATATCTGTTCCCTTGTACTGACATCATCAAGAACGACAAGAACTTTGCGTTTGTCAAGTTGACCCTTATGATCTTTGTATGGTTCCTCGAAATCATCTATTTGGGGATTTCTCAAATCCGGTAGTAGCTTCTCTAAGAGCGATGTGGGCAAGCAATCTAACCCGAAATTATTTGACTTTTCGCGGATTTGATCGATTAATGCGTGCCTAGTAAACTTAGGCTGCCACTTCTTAAAGAGCTCTTTCAGCAGTGTGGTTTTACCAATTCCAGGCATGCCAACAACTCCAATGATACGAGTTCCCTTGTATCTCTTCTGATCCAACTTCTCGTCCAATTCCTTCAAGCGTTGTTCGATTCCAAAAGTCTTATCCTTTTCTCCGCCTGAGTAAGTTCCAGTGTCACTACTTTCTGAAGGATCCACAATGGCTTTCTGGCTTCCCTCCGTCGGACTTTTGATCAGAACTTTCTTAACAGCCGTCACAATTTTGACGATTTTTTTGCTCTCGGTGCTGCAATACGTGTGAGGGAAATTAACTAATGATCATATCATAACTAATATAGTAGGTTTTGTACACCTATCTACAAAGGTAATCACAAACTGTGGATTCTCAAACACATGGGGGCAAAATCAGTTACCTTCTCTCGTGCAAGGTGATGCCCATTAGCTCAGGAATCTCCTCCAAAGCTTCCTTCCACTCTTTCTTCCTCTCATCACCCTTGGCCAGTTTCCTAAATGCATCACCAAACTCTCCCGTAACCTCACTCACGGTGGATGGATCCACTTTGTAGAAGATGGGAATAGCCACGATTTTGCCTTCCGCAACACGTTCATTGATCTTGGTCAGCTCTCTCAAACACCAACTTGATTCGGTGTACCTCACGGAGAATATAGCAAGAGCGATTCTCGATTCCTCTATTCTATTTAAAAGGGAATCTAGATGTTCGCCTCTGTTTTCGTAGGCGTCGATAAAGACCTTAATGTTATGATTTTCCAAGGCCGTGACGAGATGGCTGACGAATCCACGGCGTAACTCTGCCCCACGAAAATTGATGAACACTTGATGTTGCGGTGGCAGTTCTTCCACCGTCCACGATGCCGCCATGTTTCCGATCTGGTTGGAGAAAAGTTTAATGCACGATCTGATTACAAGTTGACTTCCAGTCTTTGGATATAAATTTTGTGATTGATAATCAATAGCGGTAGTAAAGTATTTTTTACCGCTACATACAGTATTTATCTTTTGAAAAGTCAACTTTGTAGACGTAATTAACTTTGTTTTTTAGCCAAAAGAAAAAATGATTAAGGGGGAAGAATCTCTGGATCGATCGTTAATGGTGTTGTTGCAAATCAACTCTGCCAGAACTCAGAAACATATCCTTGGAAGCTTTCGGCAACCGCAAGCAAATTGCATAGTTGGTTTCCAGTGCGAAACATTCCAGCAAAATCTGACGAAATCATGACCGGTAATGAAAAGACGGAGCAAATCGTCTACATCAGCTGCGTAGAAGAGGTACGATACTCCTTCGTCAGCCACCTCTCGGACGCTCTCACCCGAAAAGGCATAGATGTGTTCGTGGATAGCGACGATCTGCGGTCCGAGGAGGCGCAAGAAATTGTCAAGAGAGCTAGGGTTTCCGTGATGGTTTTACCCGGAAACCTCGAGCCCACCACGGCATGCCTTGGCAAGCTATTGCGGGTCCTCGAGTGCAAGAGGAGAATCGACCAGATGGTGGTTCCAGTTTTGTACGGTATCGGAACATTAGAGGACGATTGGCGTCGCACGCTGCAGAAGATTAGCGGTTTGTCACAAGGCCACCAGTCCAGGTAATTTCTAGTTATTGTGATATCTTCGCCTTCGGATTGTAAGCTTTCAATTTTGGAACATCCGATTCTGCACAGAATTGGGGATTTGATTATATATAAGGTGTTACTCTGGATACAATACTAGCTTCTATTATTAGCAAACCGAAAATCCGAAAAAACGTGAATCGAAACCAAGCTGCAATCTGGATTGAATACCCTGTTTAATATAAATTTTATACTACTGTCTAGAGGAAATCCTTCTATTTCCTTACGTTAAAAATTGGCAATCATTTTGGTAGGCTAGTGTAATGTTCCTATCAGTATCAAGTACATGTCTTTATTGCTTGAGCAAATATGGCGCAGGAAGGAATGCACCGACTCCAAACTTGTAGAAGAGATTGCTAGAGATGTGTATGAGAATATCTATCATATTGGACGAATTGGAATATACCCGAAACTGTTGGAGATTGAACAAATGGTTTGCAAGCAACAGTCAGGCATCCGCTGTGTTGGCATTTGGGGTATGCCTGGCATAGGCAAGACAACACTTGCTAAAGCGGTCTTTGATCAAATGTCTGGCGCCTTTGATGCTCGTTGTTTTATCAAAGACTATGACAAAGCTATTCGTGAGAAGGGTCTTTATCGCGTGTTGGAAGAACAATTTTTGAAAGAAAAGCCTGGTGCTGGCGGTACCAGTACGAAACTGAGTTTGCTTAGAGACAAATTAAACAATAAGAAAGTTCTTGTTGTTCTTGATGGCGTCTGCAATCCTTTGGTTGCGGAGTCTTTTCTTAGAGGGTTTGACTGGTTCGGTCCCGAAAGCCTGATTGTCATAACCTCAAGAGATAAACAGGTGTTTCGCCTTTGCAGAGTCAGTCAAATATATAATATTCAGGGTTTAAATGAGAAAGAAGCTCTTCAACTCTTCTCTTTGTGTGCGTCTATAAACGATATTGCAGAGCAGAATCTCCATGGGCTGTCAATGGAAGTGATTGAATATGCTAATGGAAACCCATTAGCTCTCAGCATTTATGGCAGAGAGCTGAAAGGCAAGAAAGTACTGTCAGAAATGCAGAATGAATTCCTCTCTCTCAAGCGGCGTCCTCCGTCTGAGATTGTTGATGTAGTCAAGAGCAGCTATGACACACTCAGTGACAGCGAAAAGAATATTTTTCTGGACATAGCTTGTTTCTTCAGGGGAGAAAATGTGGACTACGTAATGCAACTGCTAGATGGTTGTGATTTATTTCCACATGTTGGAGTTGATGTTCTTGTTGACAAGTGTCTGGTGACTTTTTCAGAAAACCTTTTGCAAATGCATAATCTTATCCAGGATGTTGGCCGAGAAATAATTAATGGTGAAACAGTGCATATCGAGAGGCGCCGCAGACTGTGGGAACCTTGGAGCATCAAATATTTATTAGAAGATAATGAACACAAAACAACCTTAAAACGTGCTCAGGTCTGTTATATCTCGATAATTTCATTTTAACTTACTTTTTGAATATGAGCCAACGTCCTGATATATCGACTTTCAATATTTTCGTTCAGGGCACTGAAGACATTGAAGGCATATTCCTAGACACATTAAACTTAGGTTTTGATGTCAAGTCTGCTGCCTTCAAGAATATGTTGAACCTTAGACTGCTGAAAATTTACTGTTCCAATTCTGAGATCCATCCTGTATTCAATTTTCCTAAGGGCGTCCTCCATTCCCTTCCAAAGGAGCTAAGACTCCTCCATTGGGAAAACTATCCTCTACAATTTTTGCCTAAAAGTTTTGATCCCATGCACCTTGTTGAAATCAACATGCCGTACAGCCAACTTCAGAAACTTTGGGATGGAACCAAGGTAAGCAAACTTTGATATGCGTCTTTCACCCTTACTAATATTTGACAGAGATGTGTGTAATTCCTTTGGCATTTTTTTTTCTCAGAACCTGGAGATGTTGAGGACGATCAGGCTTTGTCATTCCCAGCAACTAGTTGATATTGATGATCTCTTAAAAGCTCAAAATCTTGAGGTAATTGATCTCCAAGGTTGTACAAGACTGCAGAATTTCCCAGCCACAGGTCAATTGCTGCATCTGCAAGTTGTAAATCTCTCAGGTTGCACAAAGATCAAAAGTTTCCCAGAGGTTCCACCAAATCTTGAGACACTGCATCTCCAGGGAACTGGCATAACAGGATTACCACTTTCCATTGTTAAGCCAAATGGCGGAGAGCTTGAGAGTCTTCTAGCAGAATTCCAGGGTCTTTCAGATGCCTTAAAACTTGAGCGTTTAACAAATCTGGTGAAATCTAGCTCAGCTAGTCAAGATCTTGGCAAACTTATTTGCTTGGATCTGAAAGATTGTTCTCATTTGCGAAGTCTGCCTAACATGGTTAATTTAGAATTTCTCAAAGTTCTTGATCTGTCTGGCTGCTCAGAGCTCGAGACTATTCAGGGTTTCCCGCGAAACCTGACAGAGTTATATATTGCTGGCACTGCAGTAAGAGAAGTGCCACAACTTCCTCAAAGTCTAAAACTCTTGAATGCTCATGGCTGTGTCTCTCTGAAATCAATTGGTTGGGACTCCGAGCAGCTTCCTGTGCATTACATGTTCAGTAATTGTTTTGATTTATCTCCACAAGCGGTCAACAATTTTATAGCAAAAGCGCTGGCTAATGTAAAACGCATGTCAAGAGAGCATCTGCAAGTAATACACACA